CAGAGGGGTGAGCAGAAAATCGGGAAATTCACAATAATATGTGATAGAATTGAAAGGAAAGACGGAATCAGTGTGGAAACTGATAGCACATATGTAAATATAACAAGAAAAACGGATGTAAGGGGAAACAAAGCGGTAAAGAAGACGAAAGATTTAGTAGAAAGAAAGGAACAGGAAAAAGGAAAAGATGAAGATAGAAACAGAGACAAAGGAAAATAAGAAATGAAATCGTGGTACACCCTTGTCATATAGTTCAGTAAATTGTGACTCCAACAAGGGTGCAAAATCACGAACGTCTCCAACGAGAACTGTGACGATACTATGGACGAAGTCGATTCGTTTCGCGCGCGCGCGTATTGAACGACCGAGGAAAATGGCTTTGAGGTCTCTCTTTCTCTGTATAAGCAAATCTATCCTAACACATTGAAATACGTGCGTGCACACGCGCATCGGGGGTTATCGTTACCGCGAAACTAGCGAACCACCAGCTTGCACGAATACTCTTCGCCACCCTCAACGCTATCCCCCACTCCAAGTACAACTGACCCCTGCAGGTGATATTATAGGCAGCAAACATTATGATTCCTTCATATTTTTCTTTTCTATATAATGTTCTTCTTTTTCCATGTTGAAACGAAAAAGATGATTTCGGCGATAAAAGATCACGGTAAATTAATTAGTGATTTGTAAGAAAATTTCGTTTCTTCATATAAAAATACTGAGTTTTCTATAAAATCGCGAAATTTGTTTTACAAAAGCCAGATCATGACTTGATTGTTTTACATTCTATTTTTGTTTTTACTTTGAATTCTTTAAAATGTGCTAGTGTAACTTCCCTTTCAAGATATTTTTTCACTTTGAGTGTTGCTTCTGACGAATGTGTCATTTCTCTATGACACATACTGCATTCATCTGCGATTCTCTCTTTGATCGACTTTAAATTTCGAATAAAACGTCCCAGTTCCTCAGGCTATATATGTAGCTATAACTACAAACTGTCTTTCAAATACTTATTGATTTGTTCTCTAGCGTTGGTTTCGCTAGATAAAATATTTGACTCGTACTAGTAATATTTGAAATAAAAGTAAAATATTCAATTTCTAAAGACAAGTGTATGTTTGTCTGAAAATGTAAAAAGTAATAGTTAATTGATATTTATCATTCGTAAATATATAATTAGATTCTTCGCTGATTTTAATACTTAATTTGATGATACGTATATTTTTCCAGCTTTTTGGCTACTCAATTATAACTTTGCTTCCATAAAAATCAATTATTAAAGAATAATAGGAAACTAGCTAAAATAAAAATTTATTAATATTTC